ACTGTTTCTCATTCATACTCTTGTCTGCTATCTCCTATATTCAACAAATTTCTAACTTGCAGGGGATACAAAAAATGGATTTGAGACTTAACTCCACCAGTAAGTAGCAGTTTTTTGTGATTTGGTTTAAGTCATCTGCAAATGAGAATAATAGTACCTAAGATTATAACAAATTGTTCTTAGGTTTAAATGAGAAACAGAGTCTGAAAGGATTTTGTAAATACTAAATCACTACACAAATGTAAGACTTTATCATTGTCATTACTACCTTTATGCCTTCACTTATATTACTATCCTTTTTTTCTGCAATTGGTTTCCCCTTCTGTAGTTATCCTTTTCAAAGCTCAACTTCCCCTAAAAACACTATAATACGCATATTGTTATCTTTAGTTGAATTGATGTTAATATTGTCTTCCAACCACACTGAAAGCCCTTCAAGGGCAGGGATCAAATCTTTTCTATTCACCATAGCACTCAGAACATTGTTTGGCATGTAGAAGACAGTTAATAAATATTTTTGACTGATTACCTTTGAGATTTTGCCAGAGCAAGCACTAGTTTTATTATTTTGTAAGTTAAAAGTTTATATTTAGAATAATTTGTGGTATTCAGTAGAATCATCCATCTTCATTTCTTGGTTTCATCTGTCAACAAATATTTATTGAGCAAATATTTGGTGTCAAACACTGAGCTAAACAGTGTAGATACACAGATACATGCCTATTTCTGCCATAGAACTTAAACTCTTCCCCCAGGAAATGAAAATGCCTGCAGCTTGTCTTTCAGTTGTCCTCTCTTTTGAAACTAGTTTTCCCTGAGAATAGGAACACTCAAAATATAACATAAGCATGCCACCTGCACATTTTTTCCTCATTTACTTTATTCCTGAAAACTAGAAAGGTAGGTCTTCAGAAAAGTATTTTATAAATTTCAACATTTATTTAAGATGAAAGCACTCATTAAAAAAGAAATAGAGAATTATCTTGTCTTGATAATAGCTATCTATCAAAAACTTACAGAAAATGTCACACTTAATAAAACCAAGACACATTTCCACTACGATCAAGAATAAGATTAGGATACATTAGAGACATCTTTGATTCTTCTTTTTCTTTCATAACTCCTGTTGGATCCTGTTGACTCAAAATGTATCTAAAATCTGACTGTTTCTCATCAACTACACTGGTACTACCCTGGTCCCAGCCACTATTATCTCTCTCCTGTTTTACTACAATAGCCTCCTAAAAGATCTTCCTGCTTTTAACCTTTCCCCTATATGTTCTCAGCACCAAAAATAGAGTGTTTCTTTGGAAAATGTACATCAGATTATGTCACTCTTCTGCTGAAAATTTTGCAATGAAGGGGCACATTGCACCTTTTGGGAGTGATTGAAGTGTTCTGAATCTTGAGCGTGGCTGTGGTTTGACAAGTATATATATCTGTCAAAACTCAGCAAGTTGTACAGTTTAAATGGATGTAGTTTATTGAACATCAATTTAATCAATAAAGTTGATTAAAAATATATTTAGGATTAACAGAGTTCAATTAAACCTAAGAGAAACAAAATAACTTGCAAAAAATAATAAAACCTCTAATACCTCACCATTTCACTCAGAATAAATATCGAAATGCTTACAATTGCCAACAAAGTCCTAAATAATCTAACTTGCTGTTCTCTCTGATCTCATCTTCTTTTCCTCTTCAGCAATATGATCCAGCCACATTGGCTTCCTTGCTGTTCCTCGGTCATCTTGGGAATATTACTTAGGGCTTTTGCACTGGTCCATCCCTCTATCTAGAGTGTTATTTCCTCAGATTTCCATGTGGCTAATTCTCTCCGTCAAATATTTGTTAAAATGTCAATTTCTCAGTGAGGCCAATCTGACCGCACTATTTAAAATTGCAACAATCCCCACCTTCTGCACTCCAATCCTCATCTGATCTCCTTTTTTTTTCTATAGAATTTGCTACCTTCCACTATGTAATTTACTTAGTTATTATGTTTATTGTATGTGTATTACGGTAGATAGTAAGCTTTGTGAGGACAAAGCTCTTTGTTTTGTTTATTAATACATCCCAAATGCCCAAGAGAGTGGCTGACACTAAACATTTATTGAATGAGTAAATTAGTGTGACATTTATTAGATAATTAGTAAGAAATGAATGAAAGAATTGCTGGGCAGTTTTAAGAATCAAGATGATACTGGATAGTATAAATTTTTAGTGTGCCCAGTTCATGAATTAATTTATTCCTTCACTCATTCAACAAGGGTGAAAAAAAGTGATATTTGAGCTGGGTCATGAAAGATAAGAAAAATTTCGATAGATAAAGACAGTGGGGAAGTTTCAAAGAACAGTCAACTAGTTAATAGCAGATCCAGGCTATAAAATTGCATCATGAAATGGAAGATAAGAGCACGATCTTGAAAGATGATATTAACTGATGAGAGAAACAGAATTTCCAGCCCAGAAGCCAAACAAAGTGTAGAGTGGGAAGAACATAGTGTTGGCAACTGGTATAGTAAGTAAAATGAAAGGCTAAGGGACATAAAAGCAGCAGTAGAAGATTGTGATGCCTCTACATGCATTTTTTTTTAAGAAATTCTAAGCTATAAAATAAACAGAAGGAAGAGGAACAAAGTTCTGATTTGTACCACGATGACTTCTTTCATGTTTTTCTTTTTAAATCATATAGTTTCAAAAGATTTTTTTTGCCTGTTCATAACTGTATTGATATGCTACTTCTTTGCTGTATTCTAAGCATGCAACTAGTCTACTCCTTTCCCCTCACTCACCATTAAGTTTGATGTCTTCTTGTTGACCTCTGACTGTCAAGAATAAACTCTAATTCCAGGATCTGCCTTCTTTAGATAATGTTCTACTTTCTAGACATTCCCAAAACTCTTTCCTATATGGAAAAAATTCTACCACTTACTAACATTCCCTGAATTGTCAAGCTAGTTCCTCATTAAGGTTTTACAATCTTAATTTTGATTACTGTTTTAGTTATCTCAGGCTGCTATAACAAATACCACAGACAAGGTGGCTTAAACAACATTTATTTCTCACAGTTTGGGAGGGTAGAAGTCTAAAATCAGGGTGCAAGCATGGTTGCGTTCTGATGAAGGTCCTGTTCCTGGCTTGTAGACACCACCTTCTTGCTGCATTCTCACGTGGCAGAGAGATAGAGTGCTCTGGTCTCTTCATTCCTTTTAAGCGCACCAATCCCATCTTGGGAGCTCCACCCTCATGACCTCACCTAAACCTAATTACTTCCTAAAAGACCTACCTCCAAATACCATCACATTGGGCATTAGGGCTTCAAAATACAGATTTTATGGGGACACAAACATTCAGTCCATAACAGTTACTCTTCCAGTGTTAACTATTGTTTAATTGAGGCTTTTAAAGACCTTAAATTCAAAATATAAATGAATGTATTTCAAATGTTTGAATTTGGGGTAGTGTGAAATGCTTTAGAAAGTGGCATTTCTAGTGCTTTTCCCAAATCACAATATAGATATAGATTTATAGATATAAATTATTCCACCTATATTTAGGGCCAGATCCAGTCAACACTTCATCCAAATTATTTGGGAAGCATCATGGTGTAAGAAAGAACACTGAACTACGAGTCAAGAGTGTTAGTGATAAGACACATTTCTGAGAATAAAATTAAGATTCTTATAATAAATGATCAAAAATAGGAACAGATAACTTACACAGGAGGAAATAAATATAAGAAACAAAATCATGAAAGAGTATTACATATTTTATATGTAATAACATAAATTTTATATGTATTATCTATATAAGATATCTCACATAGGGACAAGATATATATAATTATATGTTTGTATTTATATATAAATGTATATCTTGTATAGAGCTGTTGAGGCTTCAGGGACAGTGGCACATTTATTCACTGCTTATTGCACAAGAGAAACAGCATCAACTGACTTAACCTTCCTCTGGACTATGTAGGAAGAGTTATAAATGGGACAGTACTATTTGGCTCAGTGATCCCATTGCTAGAAATGTATTATAATTTAAAAAATCAGGGGCCGGCCCGTGGCTTAGCAGTTAAGTGCTCGCGCTCCGCAGGAGCGCACCCACGCACCGCTTCTCCGGCCATGCTGAGGCTGCGTCCCACATACAGCAACTAGAAGGATGTGCAGCTATGACATACAACTATCTACTGGGGCTTTGGGGGAAAATAAATAAATAAAAAATTATAAAAAATCAGCAGAAGGGAAAACAAACTCTAGGCTTAAAGATGATCATTGCAATACTGTTTATAAGAGAAAAACTTTGGAATTAAACTAAATGTATAAAATTAGGAGAATATTTTAGAAAAATATAAAACACAGAATATTATGCATTCATTGAAATGATAATTATAAAACCTTGAGAATTAGAGGGAAATGTTCATACTACAGTGTTAATAGAAAGAAGCAGGAAAAAATACTATGAGATTGCAACTAAGCAGAAATCTGCATGTTTGTGGACAAAGAGTAGACAGTAATATGCAAATATGAAAATACTTGTATTAGTGCGGTGGAATTTGGAGTGACTATCAGTTATTTTTAATGTATTTTTGTGTTTTTATATTATATCATCAATTTAAAAAGTTTTAATCCATTAAAATAGTTGTGAGAGCTTAGACTCATAATGTAACATTGCTAGGACTTGGTTCCTACAAAAATGCTGGTGGTTGGACTAGCATTCAGTACCTCTTATCTTTCAGTGGATGTTAAGATCACCCAGGGAAGTTGTTGAACATACACATTGCTGACTCCATCTCAGACTTTGACTTGGTAGATCTGGGGTGGGGTCTAGGGATATGTATATTTAATAAGGAATAATAAAAATGATATCCCAGTTTCCTTCCACCTATGACATTCTGTATTTCAGTATGGTCCTTAAGATACCAGGAACTCTATAATTAATAGATAAATAAGTTTTACTTTTTATTTTCATTTTTTTACTTTATTCCTCAGCCTGAAGCAAAGTGGATTCATAAGCTGCTTTAAAGAACAACTGAACACTTGGTTTCACAGAATGGCCTTACCACAGTAAACTCTAGCTACTCTCAAATGAGCATTTCTACCTCTGTGGAACTGTAATAAATAAAAACAAGTCTTCCGTGAGTACCAGGAGCTGATTTCTCTGCATGTAATTTATAGAAGTGTGTGCTTCATTTATTAGATGCCTGCACTACTCAAACCAAAATACTGTAGCATTTTACCCCATGTTCTGAAGTTTAACTTTGGAAGCTGTTTCTGAGTTTAGGTTGAAACTTAGCAGTCTTCTTTTGGATGCCCTTATTATGTTTTGTTAAATTTCTCTTTTACTTATCATTAAGAAAAACTAAACAGACAATGGAAGGAAGAAAACAGATCTTTCACACTTTTAAAAGAAATGGAGAGCTATATGGAGACAGTAATACCCACCTCCCACATACATATACAGAGAGCTCTAAATGTAATCATTTACCTTTAGACATTTTTTCTTTAGTTTATTACTTTATTTAGTGACAAACAGCAAATTCTTCTGGAAGAAACACGTTTATCAATCATTTGACATATTTCTATGAATATGCTTATCATATTCTTTCCTGAAAGTAAGAAAGAGGAGTGGAAGGAAAAATGATAGATGATGATGATAGATAGATAGATAGACAGACAGACAGATCAATGATAGATAAATAGATAGATAGATAGATAGATAGATAGATAGATAGATAGATAGATAGACAGATAGAGAGAGAGATAGATAGAGAGATAGATAGATAGATGATTGTCTTAGTCTTTTTGGGCTGCTATAACAAAAATACAATAAACTGGATAGCTTATAAATGATAGAAATTTGTTTCTCACAGTTCTGGAGGCTGGGGACTCCAAGATCAAGATTTGGTGTCTGGTGAGAACCCACTTTCTGGTTCATAGACAGCCCTTCTCACCGTGTTGTCACATGGTGGAAGGAGACTAGGGAGCTCTGTGGGGTCTCTTTTATAAAAGGACTAATCCAATTTATGATGGCTCCACCTTCCCAAAGGCCCTACCGTTGGGGTATTAGGCCCACCCTAACACTATCACATTGGCATTGAGATTTTAACATACGAATTTTGGGGGGACATAAACATTCAATCTATGGCAATGATAGATATACAGATAGAGTTACAGATAGATATAGATATGGAGACCTCCTTCACGGCACTCAGTCTGCTTTCTGCCTTTTCGTTATAATGTTGACTCCATTTACTCTCGGAAATTACTAGGGCTGGCCCTGTGACCTAGTGGTTAAGTTTGGCGTACTCCACTTCAGTGGCCCAGGTTCGGTTCCAGCTGTGGAACTACACCACTCGTCAGTGGCCATGTTGTGGTGGCAACCCACATACAACACAGGGGAAGACTGGCACAGATGTTAGCTCAAAGCGACTCTTCCTCAAGCAAAACGAGGAAGATTGGCAACAGATGTTAGCTCAGGGCGAATCTTCCTCAGCTAAAAAAGAAAAAAAAAGAAGTTACCAGACTTCAGATCCAATTCTTAAAGATGTGTCATTTTTCTAACTCATTTGATAACCTTACACATGCCCTAAATGACACATAAAAGGCTTTTTATTGCAACATTGTAAATAGGAGAAGTGTAGAATCAATCCAATTATATGTCAGTAAGTAATAGGTTGAATATATAACAGTACATCTTCACATTGGAATGCCATGTGAATGTGAAAAAGAATAAAGAAGCTCTCTATGTAGGTGAGATCTCCAATTGGAGAAAAATATCCAATATAAATATAAGTGAAAAAAATCAAGGTGCAGGAGATAGTATATGCTGTATCAGCTACAGTATTTTTTAAAAAGTGGGAGAGAGAATATATATATTTGTATTTGCTTATCTTTGCATAAAGAAACTCTAGAAGGATACAAAATAAAACAGTAAAAGTGATTATCTACAAGGGAGGAGTGGTGTTTGGAGAAATGAATAGACGAGGGACAGGGATGAAGTTTAAACCCAATATTGATATTCAGCCAGTACATAAGGATAGAGTTGTACCAGCTGGTAAAATACTTCCAAAACAGTCGGTAATTGGCAGCTAACCTGTTCACCCTCCACCTTAAATGTCGTTCTGGCCTTCTCCCCTGGAATACCAGGGATCCTCCAGGAATCAAAAGCTAAGACATAATGAGAAGTATAAGAGATTTATTAAGGGTGACTCTGGTGAAAAGCACAGGAGAAAGAGAGCAGGAGTAGATGGGGAGAGCCTTCAGACTACCATGCAGCTCTGACCTCTGTGAAAAGGGAAAGGAAAGGAAAGAAAGGAGAGCTGAGTAGGAAGAGCCTCAGACTGAGCTACAGCACAGAGATAGTCTCAATCAGGCCAATAAGCAGCACTGAGCAAAGACTGCTCTTTAGAGGAGTCTGTTTTGGGCAGGAATACCCTGGTCTTAGTACCCCCGTGGTGCTCAATCACCAGCTAGGAATAGTCTAGTGAGAGTGTGGCCCCAGCTCGTACACTGGTAGATCTCAAACTTGTAGCAACTAGAGGCTGTCAGGTGACTTCAGCAGGATCTCTCTTAAAGTGAGATCTGAGCAGCAAACTCCCATGACTGTCACTACACGGATCCACTTCTCTATCTGTATTCACTCTTCCAAAGTTTCCATGGGCTTTTCCTCCTTAGGGGAAACTTAGAGGAGAAGGGATAGTGGAAAAACTATAGCCTCCATCACTGCAGTTGTTCTTAGGGCCAAAATTAGTCTGCCTCCTACACTGTCAATTCTCAATTCCCCTCATCCTCAGCTGCTAATTCTATATGTCTTGATGCCATATCTGGTAGTATGATCCCAAACTTCATTACTGAAGGGTCTGAGCCCCCAGTAATCATACCTTCCTCAAACTCCATTTACAGTTAAAATTGGGCAAGGGAGTACCAAGTGGATCATGTGATTTCCACAGATATTCCTTTCTTCCCATATTGTGATAATCAGCTCTACCTCCTCCTGCTCATCAGTTTAAGTTACTCTTGTCAAGATGGTGACTCTCATGTGTGTGGTGATGGATTGTAATTAGTATTTGGGTGGTGAACATGAGAACGTGATGTAATCCATACAGAAATAGAAGTATAATGATGTACACCTGAAATTTATACAGTGTTATAAACCAATGTTACCACAATAAACAACAACAACAAAAAAAGATGATGACTCTTCTTCACAACAGCTGGCCTCTAGGCATCAGGAGCCAAAAGTCCCCTGGCAGCAGCCATAACTTGTATTCCAATGGGACCGTTGCTGTAGGTCCTGGCAAGAATATGTCCCTCTTTTGGGATCAGGACCTATAACTCTCCAGCGGCCAGAGTTGATGCAACAAGAACACAAGCTCCCAGTGAGTCATTGGAAGTGATGGTAAGTGAGGCCACTCCTGAGTGTATCCCTTGGTTTCTGAGCACATGTGTTTTTCCTATTGAAAACACAACACCATGTAAAAGTCTCTGATTTAATGCATATACTGCATCTTAAAGGATGGCACCTGATCTTGCAGAGTATTGCATCCAAGCTAACACTTCATTGTGCTTTCAGTAGGTCATTCTAGCTCTCTCTGAGGTCAGTTGCTTCTGGATAGTGCAACGTGTAATATGACCAGTGGATAACATAGTGAGAAGCCCATTCTCACACCTCCTTTACTGTGAAGTAGATCCCCTGGTCAGATGCTATACTTCCTCAAGGCCACTCCTGAGTGTAGCTGTAATGTAGGCACCATCCATTTTCAGCTTGAATCCACATACCAAGCCAACCTATTTATAAACCAAGCTCAGGCTTTCTCTCCTCCTTCATATATCCATAGATGCAAGCTGAGGGAGGGTGCTGGTGCAAGTATGTTGGATGACATGAAGGTCTGTTTTACTTGTTCATGTAGCTTACATATACCCTGTGGTAATGCTCAGACTTGATCCTAGAATGACAATGTCTATTTTATGATGGACAGATTCTGGGCTTCTATGATTTTTTTGACTTTGTGGGCCCAGCAGAACCTAGCTTATAATTCGCAGTTCTGGATATATGGTCATTTGGTGCCCTATAGTATAGCACTTTTTTCTCTATTATGGCCCAGTATCGTCAGGAGTTGTCTCTCAAAGGGCATATAATTCTCTGCTATAAATGGCATGGGCTTGTTCCAAAATCCCAGGGGCCTGCATTGAAATTCTCACACTGGAGCCTGTCATAAGCTCCACCTTGCATCTTTTCCCACTGACATCTCCAAAACCATGGTGTCTTCTTGATTATGTGGCACAAGCAGCAGGGTTACTGACACCATAACCTGGACTTGCTGCCAAGTCCTTTTCTCTTTTCAGGCCCTGTGGAAATATGACAGCCTTTAGTGTCACCCGGTAAATGGAATGGAGCAGTATTCTTAGGTGTGGAATATGTTGCTCCAGAATCCAAAGAAGCCCACCAGGCATTCATAAATGCAAGATGCAGCAATTTTTTTTTTCTTTAGAGGGGGCAATGTCTCAGCATGCCCTAGACCACTGGATTCCTAAAAAAATTACTGAAGTTGCAAGTTTCTGAATATTTTTAGGATTCATATTCCATTCTCTGGAATACATGTGCCTTAATAAAGCCTTATAGTATACTATTCACCTTTTTGATTATCCTGCCTAATCAGCATGACATCATCAATGTAATGGATCAGTGTGACTTTCCTTAGGATGTCCAGGTGTTGCAGAATCCTTTGGACTATATTATGGTCCAAAATGAGAGAGAATGGGAGATTTAACATAGTCCTGAGAAAAATTGTACATGAATAGTGTCTGTCCCATGTGAATGTGAGCTGTTTCTGTTCCTCTATTCTGAACAGAGAGAAAAGAATTCATCACCCAAATCAGTGCACCTGAGGTTTACTAAGTTGATCTAGCAATGATATTATGACCAGCAGGGCAGCTGCAAATAGTGCTACTACCTGGACGACCCCGTGGTAGTCTAAAGTCGTTCCCCACAATCCATCCAGTTTCCTCAGTGGCCAAACTGGTAGATCAAACAGAGATATGACTGGGACTGTCACCCCTGCATCCTTTAGATCTTTAAAAGTGGTACAAATCATTACT